TTATACAAATGACTATTTCAAAACAGCTCCCCCAGTAGCAAAAGAAATTGTTATTTAATAATTTAGTACTTGTATACATTTTGCCCTCTCGATGTTCTAATACATACTTTTTAAAACGTGGTTTGTTTTACTGGATTAACTTATCAGATATGTGATTTAATAATGTTTATACATATGCTTAAAAGCCTCCGTTTCCACTAAATTTTGGGCATATAATGCTACTGCCTGGAATTTTTTAAAAGCTTCAAATTTTTTTCCCTTTTATTTCATCATATTATGAGGATACAAATAAAACTGTTATTCTAACCATGTAAACTCTAGTTTACATGGTTAATAAAGGCACATTATAATCTTTATATCCTTAAAAAATATATATTATTTGATAGATTTTCATGGCAGTACAGGGTTAATCTTTTTTTTCTGGCCAAGAAAGAAATTGGTAAACTACTTGACTGGAATCGTTGATACTTTCTTTCTACCTTTAGCACTGATTGACATTAGCGGAGTCTCTCTCTCCCTCTCTCTTTTTCCCGCCTTTATTTAGACTTAGATCAGGAAGAAATAGCAATCTCTTTTTTTCCTGTGACTTTAGCTGTGCCTGACACCAGCTAGCATCTATCATCTATGAGAACCAAAGCTGTTTCTTTTATTATGTGGTTCCAGATACCTTTCTCCTGGATTGTATCACAAGAACAAGAGTCTTCCTCAATTCATTCCTGCCTGTATTCCCATAGAATATTTTAGGCCTATCAGCTGCTAGGGCTCTTATCAAGGATTTGATCCACTTGGCCTCCTAGTCTGAATTGAGAATCTGTTTGAAAAGCCTTCAGTAGTGGCATTTAGTTTCTAGAGTTATACCCATTATTTTATGTCTTTTACCCCTGTTGTGCTTTCAGAAGAATTTATATAACTGGGAAAAGATAATACTTTTATCAGTAATAGCAGGGTGAAGTTTGATGAAGTGGTAAAAGGATCATGGTGGTATTTTGAGGTTGAGAGTATTTTTTAAAAAGGAGGTTAGGCCATTCGTAGTGACTCACGCCTGTAATCCTAGCTTTCTGAGAGGCCAAGGTGGAAGAACTGCTTGAGCTCAGGAGTTCGAGGTCAGCCTAAGCAAGAGCAAGACCCTGTCTCTACTAAAAAAAATAGAAAAAAAAATTAGCCAGGCAACTAAAAATAGAAAAAATTAGTGAGGTGTGGTAGTGTGTGCCTGTAGTCTTCAGGAGGCTGAGGCAGGAGGATTGCATGAACCTAGGAGTTTGAGGTTGCTGTGAGCGAGGCTGACGCCATGATACTCTAGCCTGGGAGATAAAGCAAGACCCTGTATCAAAAAAAAAAAAAAAAAAAAAAAAAGGAGGTTTAGGTGGCTATCATTTATCTTCTAGCTCCTTATATCTTTCTTCTAAGAGTAGCTATCCACTACTCTTTTCTCTCCCTCCCATCTGCTATTAACCAAGATAAAAAAAAAAAAAAATACCGATTTTCAGGAGACCAGGTTTCTTAGGGGAAAAAGCATATATATTTTATGTAACATCTCTCTCAGGACTAACAGTTCTATAGAGCTAATTTAATGTGCACAGTGCTATGCCAGTGAGATAGATTAAATGATTTTCATATTTTCAGAGAAATAGAGAAGGTAACAGTTTTTGTTTTTAATTTTTTAATTTTAATTTTTTAAGAGACAGGGTCCCTGTCACCCAGGCAAGATGCAATGGCATGATCATAGCTCAAACTCCTGGCTCAAGCAGTCCTCCTGCCTCAGCATCCCAAGTAGCTAGGACTACAGGTGCATACCACCATGTCCAGCTAATTTTTCTTATTTTTTGTAGAAATGGGTTCTCACATTACTCCTCTTTGGAGACCTTGGATGGGAGCCAAGCCCAGGCATCTTTATTTTAACAGTTACTAGGTGATTTGATTTTTGATGCACACCAAAGTTTCAGATCTGTTGATCTGTATCATTCTAATTTCTCATACTTCTCAAATGAAAGTGAAGAAAAGGTTTGGTAATAAGAAGATAAGCCATGCAGTTTTAATTTTGGTTACTAAGCTGGGGATCAGATGGAAAGAGTATCTTTATATTCAAAGGTGGTTGAAGCTTACCACAAAAGACCATCATGGTGATGATCTACCACGCTATTATTTTATTTATTTATTTTTTTTGAGACAGAGTCTCGCTTTGTTGCCCAGACTAGAGTGAGTGCCGTGGCATTAGCCTAGCTCACAGCAACCTCAAACTCCTGGGCTCAAGCAATCCTCCTGCCTCAGCCTCCCGAGTAGCTGGGACTACAGGCATGCGCCACCATGCCCAGCTAATTTTTTCTATATATATATTAGTTGGCCAATTAATTTCTTTCTATTTATGGTAGAGACGGGGTCTCGCTCTTGCTCAGGCTGGTTTCGAACTCCTGACCTTGAGCAATCCACCCGCCTCGGCCTCCCAGAGTGCTAGGATTACAGGCGTGAGCCACCGCGCCCGGCCTACCACGCTATTATATGTAGAGTTTTCCCTATGTCTTCATAGTGATCTTCCTGAAATTTGAATCTGATTATTTCATTTCCTCAAAATCTGATATTTTGTTCTTGCCTGCAAGATGAAGTCCAGACTCCATTGTGTGGCATATAAAGTCTTCATGATTTTGACCCTTGCTAACCTTTTTAGCTTCATAGCTTTTATTACACTTTCCCTCATTGTGACTCCCCTGAAAACCTTCTGCAGAAACAGAAAAGCAAAACCAATGAAAGCTCCTCAGCTCCAGCCACAATAAATGATTTGTAGTTCACTGTAAACCTTTTCCTTGCTTCTTTATTCTGCCTGCTTTGCCTTTCTTGTTTTGTCCTACTGGAAAACATCTACTGATTGTTTAAGATTCAGCTCAACATCTTTTCCTGACCTCTCTAAAGCAACTGGTGCTGTTTCCTCCATATTATTTTATAGCACTTATTGAATTGCTGTAGTTATTCGCTTATGACTCTCCTAGTAGGCTGAGTTCCTCAAGGATAAAGATAGTAAGTTAAAATATAACCCTTTGCACTTGGATGTCGAGTGTGACTCGACACAAAAATTTTTGCTAATTTTTGTAATTAGCAAAAATTACAGAGATTAAAATTACTCTTTGAATGTATCAATAATTTGAAATATAAAAAATCCAAATAAATAAGTTTGTATGAAAAGAAACTCCAGTTTTTTATTTTACTGCCGCGCTTTGTAAAATCTGGGGTATTTAAAAAATTAAATCCTGAGTAGAATAAAGGAATCAAGAAAAAAGCAAGTGAGTGCAAAGGGATAAGTTTCATGAGGGCAGTTACTCTTGTTCAATGCCATATTGTAGTACCTGGCATATAGTAGACACTATGAATGAATCTATATTTATGTCTTGGGTAGGCTCCAAGTTGATCTTTGTTTATTAAAAAGCTTATAAATACATTAATGAATTATAAAATCTCAAAAGTAAGCTTACTTTATGGGGTCAGACTTTGGAAAGGAGAGCCTCTTCCCTGAAATCTTGAATACACAGCATTGTTAATGCCAGGATACAATGAACAAGTCCATATATTTTTGTATAATATCTGATTTCACTTATGGTATAAGAAAGACTTGAATAATTTTTATTTTGAATCTTAATATTGGTATTTAAATGAGAAAATCTAGAAGAAAACAGGAAAGTTTCTTTGACATTGGTCTTGGTAATGATTTTTTGGATAGGACACCAAAAGCACAGTCAACAAAAGCAAAAATAAACAAGTGAGACTACCTCAAACTAAAAAGCTTCTGCACAACAAAGAAAACAGTCAACAAAATAAAAAGGCAGTCTATGGATTGAGAAAATACTTGCCACTCATATGTCTGATAAGGGGTTAATATCTAAAATATATAAGGAAATCACAAAACTCAATAGCAAAATACCCAAATAACTCCAATATGAGCAAAGGACCCGAATAGACATTTCTCCAAAGTAGACATACAGATGGCCAACAGGTATATGAAAGGGGGCTTAACATCATTAATCATCAGGGAAATGCCAATCAAAACCATAATGAGATGCCACCTCTCACCTATTAGAATGGCTTTTATCAAAAAGATAAGAAATAACAAATGTTGGCAATGGTGTGGTGAAAAGGGAAGTCTTGTACACCTTTGGTGGGAATGTAGATTGGTGCAGCCACTATGGAAAATAGTATAAAGTTTCCTAAAGAAACTGAAAGTGGAGCTACCACATGACTCAGCAATTCCTCTTCTGGGTATATAACCAAAAGAAATGAAATTACCACCGTGTAAAGATATCTGTACTCCCATGTTCATTGCAGCATTATTCACAATAGCCAAGATATGGAAACAACCAAACTATCTGTTGATGGAACATATGAATGGATAAAGAAATTGTGTGTGGGTACACACACACAATGGAATATTATTCAGCCTTAAAAAAGGAGAGTCTACCATTTGCAACAGCATGGATGAACATAGAGGACATTATGCTAAGTGAAATAAGCCAGACACAGAAAGAAAAATATTACATGGTCTCACTTATATGTAGAATTTAAAACAAACAAAAAAACCCAAAAGCATAGGAACAGAGCAAAACAGTGGTTGGGAAAGGATGAGAAGTTGTAGATCAAAGGATACAAAGTTGCAGTTATGTAGGGTGAATAAGAGATGTAATATACAACTGAGGGCTATAGTTAATGATATTGCATACTGGTAATTTGTCAAAAGAGTAGATTTTAGGTACTCTTACACAAAAGAGGTAACTATATAGGATAATAGATATGTTAATTTGGATATAGTAATCACTGTGTATATGTATATCAAGATAAGAATTAATATATCAAAATATGTATACCTTAAATACATGCAATAATATTTAAAAAGTAAAATTTAAAAAATCAGTTGGAAAAATAAATGAGAAGATCTAGAAAAATAGCCAAAAAACTTCATTAAACTTCAAAATTTCTTTTCCAATATTAATTGAGATAACATTTTTTACTCTCTTGTATAGGGTGTTTGTGAACCGAAGTTTAGCCATGGAGAAAATAAAGTGTTTTGGTTTTGATATGGATTACACCCTTGCTGGTGAGTAGCAATTTCTGATTGCTTAAGAAATGCTGCATTGAGTATAACACAATGGGTCTGCAGTAGGCAATTCAATACATACTTATGGATTTAATTATATATTTGGCTTCCAGAAACTCTTATTATCAAGCTGCTTCTGCTGAGATTTGTGAATATTGAAGTTATCAGATATCCTTGAGATTTGCTTTATGAATTTGTATACTTAGGTAGAATAAGTATTGAATTATATTATTTAGACACCCTGATAAGAAACAATATGGTAAATCATACCTTAGTGGATATATTTGGGCATTTTTGACCTTTACTCTATTAAACTGTTCCTAAGGTATAAAATTTTGCATCTCTCAGTCTACCAAAAGGTAAATTTTTATCAGTTAAAAATTTTAATATGATATTAGGACAAATGGACAATGTCATTTTCCATTGAAATGATTGTACACATAATATGTAAAAGGTTTTTTAACAACTAGAGCTATTAGTTTTGTTTGTTATCATATAGTCCTTAAACACCAGCACTGTGCTATTTTTCCCCTCTTGTCTTTGAAATGTATTTGAAATAATCAATGTATTAGTCAATAGTTATAACATCTTTTTGGAACTTATTAAGTAAAATATTTTCAGTTTGGTGAACATGTCATTTAAGAAGTGATAGGGATGAGGGATAAAGTTGACAATGTGTGCAGGCATGCATGTGTGTGCACATGTGTGTGCAACTGTGACAATCAGAAAATAATCTTTTAGAAATTATCTCTAAAAATGTTTGTCTTTACACAAAAATCTTAAAATGCATAAAATCACTTATCTTCAGGAAGTATTTATATAAATAGCAGTGTTAGGAAACCAACTTTCATCTCAAATTAGACAAATCTCAATTTGATGTTCAATTTAGACCACAGATGTAAATCAATAATATAAACGTACAAAGGTGAACACATGCAGGTACTTGCCACAAAAATGTGGCCATGATTTTTCACCAATTTATTCAAAATATACATATGCAGTATATTTGATTTGAATTTTTCGTTTCCTTCCATACTCTTTGTCATTCGTTTTTCTATTGCCTTAAAGTTGTTTTTGCAGCATTTTAATTCCTTTATATTTTCCTAATTGGATACAGGCACTTTTAGGGGCACTTGTCAGAAAGCATTTGAAAACACTATGCTTTCTTACTGTACATCTTGCTATTTTAATGGGGAGAAAAATCTCTCCTTTCAAGAATTTTAGTTCTTCATGGAAAGGAATGGTGAAATGATTTGGCAGCTTGTAAGAGTTACTACTACTTAAAGCAGAAACAGAAGTTAATGGGGTCAAAAAGTAACAACCTTTTTTCCCTTGGTTATTAAGACAGTGTTATTATATTGAAAAAGTTCAGTTCAATAAGTATGTATCGAGAGTCTGTAATGTGCCTGGCACATTTTGTTACTAAGTGTTGAGATAATTAGATCTTTCTACAGAATAATGAAAAAATGAACTCTCCTGTGTGTTGAAAAAGTCACTGAATCTTAGTCTTTTAACTTTAATGATACCTTATGATTTCTTTTTTTATTTGCTTTTTTGTGTTTTTTTAACACCACTTCATATTTTAATACTTTCTCCTAGTCCAGATACTAATATTCTTTGTGTATATATCATAGTAACTGTTAACATTTATTATCGTGCTTATTATTTGCCAGGCTCTGTTCCAGATGCTTTAATAGATATATCATTTAATACAGGGATTATTTATATCTCTTATTTAATATTTATAGAAATCCTACGAGGCAGGTACTACTACCGTCTCCACTTACAGATGATGCTGAGACATTAAGCACTACTTTGTCCAAGGACATTTAGCTGTTATATAGCTGAACCAAGAGTCAAAACTAAGCATACATGTATATATACATATTTATACATATAATGTTTAAAATATCACTTTGAATAATGACAGTTTATAGTGAGATATTTCAAAGTAATAAGCTCCCTTCCCCCTCTTTAAACAAACAGACCAAGACTTAATCATTCAAAAGGGCAAAGCCCTTTGAAAGGTCCATTTCAGAGATTGTATACATTATTCCATCAGTTCTTTGTTGGTGAAAAACATGATTATGGTATTGTCTTCACAAAGCACATAGGAAAACAAGTTTATTGATTTTATATTCTCACCTGTTTTCCAGAATGGTAGCCATTAAATTTAGCTGTGAATAACTTTTGGTTGTTTAAAAAACAAACCACACCCTTTAAGTACTAAGATTTCATCAGAAAAATGTGTCATGAAATACAGAGACAAGACTAAAAGAAATGTTTTTTTTTTTTTTAATTCAAGTATTTGGGATAAATCTCCCTGGAATAAATGTAATAGCCTTCCTTAGAGGGTAAGTTCTTGTTAAGAATCTATATTATTTTTGAAACCTTCTCTGAGACATCATTTTCTCTGTGCAATCCTGATATCTTGGTACATCATTCCTTCTGAGCAATTTATATATCAGTTGCAGCTTTTGTTTACTTGTCTCCCCATTGGCTTTCAGGTTTCTCAAGAGCCAGGCAGTTTTCATATTTGTATTCTATGTGTAGCATAAAGCCTGGCATAAAGTAGGTGTCTAATAAATATTTATTGAATGAACAGTTAGGGTACATTAAGTTTTAGTAATTAGTTTAAAAATCATTTTTGGTAATTTAGTTTACCCAGTATAAAATACACACTAATTATTCAAGTGAATTACTTCTAAATATGAAGTAATTTTTAATAATTTAATAAACTTTATTGAGAAATAAGTTATATACAATAAAACATATCCATTTTAAGTATACAGGTTGAATTTGAGAAAATGTGTGCACCTGTGTAACCACCACCATAATCCAGATACAGAATATTTCCATCACTCCAAAATGTTCCTCAATGCCTCTTTGAAGTTAGCTCTCCTCCCCACCCCACTCTTGGCTGTAGGGCTTTTTGTCACTATAGGTTAATTTTGCCTTTTTTAGAATTTCATATAAATGGAATCATATAGTATGTACTCTTTTGTGTTTGGCTTCTTTTGTTCAGCATGTTTTTGTGATTCATTCATGCTGTTGCATCTGTAAGTAGTTCATTCTTTTTTTAAAGTGTAAATCCCCCTAGCATTTAAAAAAATTTTTGAATTTGAAATCATTTTAGACCTATAGAAAAGCTACAAAAATAATGTGGAGCGTTCTCTTTCCCTCTCTTATATGGTAACATCTTCCTTGGCCATAGTAAATTATAAAAACTAAGAAATTAACACTAGTACAATACTATTAATTGAACCACAAACTTTATTTTGTTTTTATCAGTTTTTTCACTGTTGTCCTTTTCCCATTCCAGGATCCAGTACAGAATCCCACATTGCATTTAGTTGTCATATCTCCTTAGTCTCTTCCACTCAGTGATAGTTTCTAAGTTTTTCCCTGTCTTTCATTGCTCTGACACTTTTAAAGAGTACTGGTTAGGTATTTTGTAGAATATTTCACAATTTGGGTTTGTCTGCTTTCTGGTTTATAGATGGCACCTTCCAGGTATGTCCTCACATGTAGGAAGAAATAAGAGATCTCTCTTGGGCCTCTTTTGTAAGGGCACTAATCCCATTTATAAGAGCTCTGTTCTCATGACCTAATCACTTCTCAAAGACCCTGCTTCCTAACACCATCACATTGGTTATTAGATTTCAGCATAATTTTAGGGGGATACAAACATTCATACCATAGCATGTGTTATAAAACTGCTATCTAGGCCAGGTGTGGTGGCTCACGTCTATAACCCTAACACTCTGGGAGGCCAAGGTGGGAGGATCACTTGAGGTCAGGAGTTTGAGACCAGCCTGAGCAAGAGTGAGACCCTGTCTCTACTAAAAAATAGAAAGAAATTAGCTGCACAACTAAAAATGTATAGAAAAAAATAGCTGGGGATGGTGGTACATGCCTGTAGTCCCAGCTACTTGGAAGGCTGAGGCAGGAGGATCACTTGAGCTCAGGAGTTGGAGGTTGTTGTGAGCTAGGCTGATGCCACAGCACTCTACTCAGGACAACAAAAGTGAGACTCTGTCTCAAAAAAAAAAAAAAAAAAAGAAAATCCATGAATAACTTTGACTCCCCAAAACTTTACTAGTAGTTTCCTGTTGACTGAAAACCTTACTGATAACAAACAGTCGATCAACACATATTTTGTATGTCATATGTATTATATACTGTATTCTTATGATTAAGCTAGAGTAAAAAAAATGTTATTAAGAAAATCATAAGAGAGAATATATTTACTATTTATTAAGTGGAAGTGAATCAAATCATCATTGAAGGTCTTCATCCTTATCTTGACATTGTGCCAGCTGAGAAGGAGGAAGAGGAGGGTTGGTCTTACTGACTCAAGGGTGGTAGTGATGGAAGAGGTGGGGGAGGTGGATGGGGAGGCAGGAGAGGCAGGCACATGTGGTGTAACTTTTATTGAAAATGATCCATGTATAAATGGATCTGTGCAGTTCAAGAGTCAACTTGTACAGATGAGTTTATATATGAAAGTAATGTTTAAAATTTAGATAATACTGAACTATATATGTTAGCTTTGCTACTGGCCAAGAGCACTATGGTTTTTTGTTTTTTTTTTTTTTTTTTTTTGACTCTTTTGCCCAGGCTAGAGTGCTTTCTACTGGCCAAGAGTGCACTATGGTTTTTTTTTTTGTTTGTTTGTTTTTTCCACTCTTTTGCCCAGGCTAGAGTGCCATGGCGTCAGCCTAGCTCACAGCAACCTCAAACTTCTGGGCTCAAGCAATCCTCCTGCCTCAGCCTCCCAAGTAGCTGGGACTACAGGCATGTGCCACCATCCCTGGCTATTTTTTTCTATACATTTTTAGTTGTACAGCTAATTTCTTTCTATTTTTTAGTAGAGATGGGGTCTTAGCCTCCTAGAGAGCTAGGATTACAGGCATGAGCCGCCACGCCCGGCCTAGACTATGTTTTATATAAAAAGTACCTATCAAGACAATTTACAATTCCTCTTTTATGCCAAATTC